CTATAAGAATTTGCAAAGACAGTCTATCGTTCTACATACAATTCGGAAATTCTGTATCCCTTGCTTACAGAAAATTAGCTGGTCTAGGAGAATTCGATTTGATGTTGCACTCATGATTTCAGTTCATTAATAACCTTGTCGGAGGAGCATTTGAATATAACGTAAACTTAGTTAAATCAATGTAACTGTATGGCAACTCTGTAAGCTAGGGCTAACGCGTTGCAACTCCCACCTAGTGTTGCATAACGTGGCTTCTAAGCTCAAAGTCCACTACTGAAATACTCTCGACGACGACGCACATCACGCGCCGCTTTTTCTCCCAATAAATTTATAACTACATTCTAAAGCCGACTTCTTATTCTTGTACTGCGCCCGGTGAACATAAAACAAGTTCGGCCGCGATCGAACATTTTGGCGACCGTGACAGGACGCAGTACAGAATAAGCGGAGGTTCAGAATTGGTCTTAGATTTGGAAAAGCGTCCAGCGCATCGCACCAACCACGGGCGACGACAGCGGCAGTCAACATCGAACGAGTCAGCTTACCGGAATTGACGGAGAGACATCAGCAGCATTGTCCGCCTGTCTGGAGACAGGTCAACCATATTCTGGATCATCGCCAGCGTTGAGGAGCACGAAGCACGGAATCTTTCTGGACCACCATTGCGCCAAGATTGCATAACTTCTTCCCTCTCCCAGTCAGCGATTTGCAGCCACGTGCAGTGGTCAACTTGTGCACAAACACGGACGAAAAATTCCGTTACCGCACACACATACATACACACGTGAAAGCGTGCCGTGAGTACACACATACAAACATTGTCATCTATCTCTGTTCCCATATTCGCATACCGCCAAAAATAAATACATACATACGCTTTACAGCTGCTTAAGTACCTTGGCTGAATTTGTGTCTACGTATTTGCCAATTTTCTAACGCCGAGCTGCACTTTAGGTACAGATTAGGGTAAACTAATTCCCGGTAGCAGAACGGTTCTTTTTCGAGCTGTAGACCATTCCCTTTATATAGTCGTTCCAAAATTTATAGTCAAGCTCAACGCCATGAGTCCAAACAACAAAGGCGACGGGACCAACAACGAGAAGCTACCTTCACTGCGGCAACAACGATCAAAGGTCGAGGACAATATCAAACGTTTAGCTGACCGCGTAGAATCCAACTCAAATGAAACGGCGGAATCCCTAGACTGCAATGTGCAGATTCTAGAGGCATATTTTCGGCAGTTATCCCAGCTGCAAACTAGAATCGAAGAATTAGACATTGACGACGACGGACGCGCAGTGGGTGAAATCTTATTTGTTGAGACAAAAAGCAAATTAAAATTCCTCATCAACAAACAACGGCGCACGAGCCTTCACGAGTCTACCTTTCTCAATACAACAGCAAGCGCACATCAATCCCGGTTGCCAAGTTTAAAGTTGCCAAACTTCGACGGAACCTACAGCAACTACAAACGATTCGAGGGAGCGTTCATTAATCTTGTACATAGTGATCCCATAATTCCTCAAATCGACAAATTCAATTATTTGCTAAACTGTTTGTCAGGACCAGCACTTGAAGTAGTCAGTGCGTATCAAGTGACTGAAGATAACTACTCCAAGGCATTCGATCGACTCAAGGAGCGTTATGATAATAGCGTACTTATCTTTTTAGATTCCATCACGAACCTATTCAACCTTCCAGCGATCGTCAAGCCAGATGCGGCAGGACTTCAGCGGCTAATTGATACATCGTCAGCTATCCGAGGATCTCTCCTTTCTTTGGGCAGCGCGGATGATATTATGAACGCGATAATGATCAACTTGGTTCTGGCAAAAGTGGACGCAGATACTCGTCTCAGCTACGATGAAAAACAATCTTTCGACGAGCTACCCAATTGGGACGACTTTTGTAAAACACTTACACACCGATGCCAGTTCCTAGAAGGTCGTCACCGGAGCGCAATCAAGAACCGCCAAAGTGATTGGTGTCAGAAGCCGAAGTCATTACCAAGTTCATTGCCGAAGGCATTTGTTACTACACAGGCTAGTTGCGTTTACTGTGAGTCAGCCACTCACTATATATCTCATTGCAAGGCCTTTGCTAAATTAAACTTAGCTCAACGGAAGGATTTCGCAAAAAATACACCCCTCTGCTTCAACTGCTTACGGAAATCTCACACTGCAACCGAATGCTCATCTAATTCGAGGTGCAGAGTCTGCCAAACAGCGCATCACACTCTCCTGCATGAATTCTCACGAAATCAAGGGCAGGTAGCATCCATCGAGGGTCGGTCAACAGTTTTACATCAGAGTCAAGCAACAGCACCGCAGGCACCACAGATTTCTCTTCTAGCACGTACCGCAAAGAGAAGTCTCATACCAACAGCGGTAGTCCATATCAAGGACGGAAACGGCCAGTTTCAGATAGTCAGAGCGTTATTAGATTCAGGTTCGGAACTTAACTTGATCACGGAGGAGACTGCGAAGCGTCTGCAGTTATCAAAATGCCGCGTCAGCCAAGCGATCAGTGGTATTTCTGACACCTCAAGGCAAATCAATTACAGCGTACATACAACTCTAAAATCACGAGTTTCGGACTTTCAATGGACATCCAATTTCGCGGTGATCGCATCCATTTGTGCTCAACAACCTAGTAAGGGCGTTGACATAACTGAATGGAATATGCCAGAAGGAATCGTACTAGCTGATCCAACATTCTTTCAACCCAGCAAAATCGACATTTTGATCGGAATTGAAGGATTCTTCGAAGCCATCCGAGTTGGAAAATGCACAATGGGTACGAAAATGCCCACGCTCATCAATACAAGTTTCGGATGGGTAGTTGGTGGAAGTACGATGATGCCTACTGAGCCTGAGCGCTACAAATGCAATTTCGTTCAAAATCAACCATCTCTAGATGAAATCCTTTCACACTTTTGGAAAGTGGAAGAGTATCAAACGCCACGACAAACTCTTACCGAAGAAGAACAGCTATGTGAACAGCATTACGAGAACACAGTTGCTGTTGGATCCAACAGTCGCATTACCGTTCGACTTCCATTTAAGGAATCACCCCAAACGTTAGGCCAATCATACGACAGCGCCGCCAAACGTTTTTCCCTACTCGAACGTAGGCTAAATAACAATCAGTCCTTAAAGGAATCATATGTTCAATTCATGCGCGAATACATCACAACAGGTCACATGTCACTCATACACGACGTTGACAAAAGTGAGCCCCATTTCTTTATTCCCCACCATTGCGTGTTACGGCCCCAGAGCCTATCCACTAAGCTACGAGTAGTGTTTGATGCCAGCGCAAAATCTTCTTCCGGCGTAGCATTAAACGAAATTCTAATGGTAGGACCCACAATACAACAAGATTTAATCACGACATTGCTTTCATTTCGGCTCAATCGTTACGCTTTATCAGGTGACATCTCAAAGATGTATCGCCAATTTGTAATTGACGAGCGAGATAGAAAATTTCAGCTAATTCTCTGGAGAGAAAACGATACAGACATTCTACAGACCTACCAACTAAATACGGTGACCTACGGTGTCTCAGCAGCTCCCTTCCTTGCCATTCGGAGTCTGTTTCACATAGCCAAGTTAAACGAATTAGAATATCCTCTCGCCGCTGCAGTACTCCGAACTGATCTATATGTCGATGATCTTCTTACAGGCGCAGACGATATAGACACTGCACTACAGAAGAAAACGGAAGTCTCAAAAATCCTAAGTCAGGCTGGATTGACGATGACCAAATTCAACAGTAATTCACCCACACTAGGTAATTCATCAGACGGCGAAATTTCAATGCAGCTGGAGGAATTGAAATCAACGAAAATGCTTGGACTAGCATGGCAGCCATCAGACGACGTATTCATTTTCCAGTTCAAATTCGAGTTTTCTTCGACTTCTACTAGACGGACTATCCTATCAGAAGTATCACGAATATTCGATTCGCTTGGACTTATCGCGCCCGTCCTCATGAATTGCAAAACGTTCATTCAAGATTTAGTTATCCGCAAACTTTCTTGGGATGAGCCAATTCCCAACGATCTCGGAATCGTCTGGGACAACTTGAAAAATGACTTGCGAAACTTATCCACAGTGAAAATTCCACGATATGTATCAACCTCACAACAATACCAAAGCGAGCTTCACGGATTTGCGGACGCCTGCAAACGAGGATACGGCTGCTGCCTTTACATTCGCAGCATAATCAATGGTGTAGTAAAGGTCAGCTTATTAGTTGCAAAGTCAAGAGTCGCTCCAATTCAATCCTTGTCAATCCCAAAGCTTGAGCTCTCTGCAGCCGTGCTGCTTAATAGAACATATCAAAAGTTCAAACACAAACTCGAGCCTTACATCTCAAAGGTATACTTTTGGACCGATGCGAAGACCGTTCTACAGTGGCTTGGGAAACACTCGTCGCAATTGCCAACTTTTGAATCTCACAGGATATCTGAGCTCCAGTCGTACACACAAGATGTTGAATGGCGCTACGTATCAACAAGCAAAAATCCTGCGGACATCGTATCCAGAGGATGCTCAGTAAAGGATCTTGAGCACAACATGTGGTTTACTGGACCCGACTTCCTGAAAAGGTCGGAAAGCGAATGGCCTTGTCTGCCTAATCCAGTAAATCCACCCCTCCAGTCATCAATCGAGATGCAACCCAAATCTATGATAGTCGAAACTTCGAGTGCTATTGTAGTACCCAGCATTCTAGATGATCTTATCGAGCGGTCATCGTCATACTTTCGTATCCTGCGTACGCTATCCTTCATTTTTAGAGTATTTAATAGGGTCCCTGCAGCTAGACATTCAACTGTTCAAAATGTAGTACACGTGCCAGCGATCGAGCTAAATCAAACGTTTTGGAGAATCGTAGCACAAATTCAGCAAACGGTATATAGCACAGAGATCAATTTATTACTGAATGACAAGCCATTAAAGTCTAGCTTTCAAGGACTGACTCCGTATTTAGACAAAATGCATATCGGCAATGCAATCCTGATCCTGGTGAGAGTAGGGGGAAGACTGGATAATTCCGATCTGCCATACAGCGCTAAGCATCCAGCCATTTTGCCAAAACAGCATCGCTTTACACGGCTATACGTCGAGTTCCTTCACCGTTCCAACCTACATGCAGGACCGAAAGTCTTGCTTTCCTTACTTCGCGAAAACGTTTGGGTCATCAACGGCAGAGCGTTAGTGCGTCAAGTGGTACGGGAATGCACTCACTGCTTCCACTACAAGCCTCGCCTTATGTCCCAGATCATGGGAAATCTCCCTCCAGATCGACTTGTCGGCGAACGAGCGTTCCTGGTGTCAGGCGTCGATTTTTGCGGTCCCTTCCTGACCTCATACAAAATTCGAAGCAAGTCCCCGTACAAAACTTACGCTTCAATATTTGTGTGCTTTGCAACGAAGGCTACCCACATCGAACTAGTTTCCGAGCTTACAACTAATGCTTTCTTATCCTGCATTCGAAGGTTTATTGCCCGGCGTGGGTTACCGCAACGCATCTACTGCGATAACGCAAAAAACTTCGTGGGAGCTGCCAACAAAATGAAGGAGTTCCAAACTGCATTACTGGAGCCTGAATCCATCAGTCTTCTAGAGTCATACAGCGCTCGCAAGGGATTCTCATTCTGTTTCATCCCTCCCAGAGCCCCACATTTCGGCGGCCTCTGGGAGGCGGCTGTCAAATCAGCTAAAACGCTCCTGATGAAAAACATCGCAGAAGCAAACTTTACATACGAAGAGCTCCTGACCGTCCTCGCAGAAGTCGAAGCCATATTGAATTCACGCCCCATTGCGCCAGTATCGGACGACCCAAATGATGGAGCTGCATTGTCGCCGGCCCATTTCCTAATTGGGTCAGCTTTATTATCTGCACCAGATGAATCTCTCTATAACCCAACAGAGGAGGACGACGACTCCAAGTTGCGCTATCTAACCAGATGGCAACGCGTGACATTCATCAATCAACACTTTTGGCGCAGGTGGCGAAGGGACTACATCCATTCTCTTCAAGTTCGCGGCAAGTGGACCAAGCCGCAAGCCAACATCCAGGTCGGTCAACTCGTCATCGTGCACGAGGACAACCTTCCTCCTCGATGCTGGAACCTAGCAAGAGTCACTGGAGTTACTTACGGACGAGACCACCGAGTACGAGTCGTGGATCTGCATACCGCTAAAGGCCCCCTGCGTAGGGCAATTCATAAATTAGCTCCTCTTCCTTTTGATTGTAATTGAAAGATCTGCGTTCTTTCAACGAGGGGAGTATGTCGGAGGAGCATTTGAATATAACGTAAACTTAGTTAAATCAATGTAACTGTATGGCAACTCTGTAAGCTAGGGCTAACGCGTTGCAACTCCCACCTAGTGTTGCATAACGTGGCTTCTAAGCTCAAAGTCCACTACTGAAATACTCTCGACGACGACGCACATCACGCGCCGCTTTTTCTCCCAATAAATTTATAACTACATTCTAAAGCCGACTTCTTATTCTTGTACTGCGCCCGGTGAACATAAAACAAGTTCGGCCGCGATCGAACAAACCTGATCAAACCGTTTTCAATTATGCGAGAAATAAACAAAAAACCCGTCTCAGACTGAAGCATCTAAGTGCAATGAAATTTACTAAGAAAAAGCTTTGATAAATTCTACAAACCTGTTCGATTAGTTGAATTGAGAATTAGTTCCGTTGAAAATTCACACCGAGATGTTAGGCGGTATAACATTTTTATATTTTATATTCGGGATATTAACATGTGAGTTAAAAGTTTTAAAGAATTTAAATTATTAATTTGTACATTTCAGTGAGCATATAAAAAAGTTACAAAAATGTTTATTAACTACATAGTTGTTTAATCACTTTCATTATAAATATATGGCATTATTAGCTCTTTTAAACAACAAGTTAACATGGAAAATCTTTGCAGCAATTCAGGGACACGAGGAATGCGGAAAACTGCTGGAAAGTCAGCTCTACGATCGGAATGAGATAACGTCACCGGATGAGTACACCTGGATTGGGCGAGTGGGCTATGAGAATTCAGGTGAAGCCACCACCGAGTTTCATTGTCTTGCGGTGCTGATCAACCAGCGATATGCAATTCTTCCCGCCCACTGTGTGCTAAACATACCGAAGGCCGATGCCTCATTTATAGTTTTTGGAGACTGGCGGGCACAAAGAAACTTTACTGACGGGGATTGTCGCCAAGTGAAGGACTTAACCCAATGCAGCATATCGCCACAGACTTTGGACATTGAGGAACTGGTGGTGCATCCCCAATACAGATCAGCTGCTACTCTGGAAGGCCTTAACTATAATATCGCACTAGCCAAACTGCAGGGGATCGTGGAGTTCTCGTACTTTGTGCAGCCCATCTGTTTGCCACCCGCAGGTGACGATAAGGACAAACATATTGGCCAGAGGTTGGAGCAGGCCGGATTCTATAGGCCAGAAGATTTGGTTCAAGACTGGCGGGACCAATTTCAGTTGAAGGATTTAGTTAGTGAGTGGCGGGTCAAGAAACAGGTGCAAATGGCCAGCCTGCAGTTCTGCAGTTCGAAAATTTGGAACCGACCACTTTCCGAGAATCATATGTGTTCGGTGGGCGATACCGGAAACGATTTTCTTTGGGGATCGCCTCTGATGGCCTTCGAGGTGTTCGACGGCAAGCCGAGGAACTTCTATCTGGTGGGCATAAAAATCAGTTCCATTGCGGGACCTAGTGATGATCTCGACTCATCCCTGTTTACGCGCATCCTACCATTTAGGAGTTGGGTTTTGAAAAATATTAAATCTAACTAAGAAACAACTGTAAACCCAAGGCATTATTTAGCTAGAAATACATTGAAACCATCTCAACTGAAGTTAATGAGTTACTGATTTAATTATTGAATTTTACTTTATATTTATTATTTCATAAGTAATTTTATTTTATATTTTTTGCCGTTGTATGTAGGCCTTTTTCACTCTTAATAGGATTTTATCTTAATATCATAAGATATTTTATAATTATTTTTTTCCAAGTGAAACATATAGATGATGTACCCTGTGCTAGAAGGACTCGCCCTTAAAACGGGACATAATTAAAGTCCCCAACGAAGCTGGAAAGTATGCTGCGGCTTTTGTGGCCAAAGGCGAGCACGGGGATTGACTTAATTAAATGCAATTTTCAATGCGTTTTCGGTCATTTGAGTGCGCAATTTACTGTTTACCCCATGCAGTGCGAAATAAGCGTGTGTGCGTGTGTGGATGGGAAGGAGAAGGGGGCGTGGCATTGTCACTTGGTAGGTTTTTATGTTTGTTTAATTGTCGGGAGATGCGTTTCGCTTTATGCTTATTTATGATTTAATTAAATGCAATGCAGACCGCAAAATGAGCCGTGTTCGAAGTGTTGGGGTTTCTGTGGTTTGAGGTCCAGCTATTTAGGGGTGGCATCCATCGATGGAGTGTTTATTTTGGTTTCGAGACGTTCTTTGCGGGCAGAAAATGACCAGAGAAGCTCATTTAATTAAGTCGCCCGTCCATAATGAGGGAGTTCGTTGATTCTGACCAGGGGGCGGTATGCATATAGAATTTTTAGGTAAATAAATATATCAGCAATTTATCATGAGACCATCATCTGGTAAAAACAAAAAAGGGTTCGACTATTCAACCATCAATCAAATTATTAAGGTTCACCGTTTTTTTACTCTTTTTTTTCGTTTACTAATTTTCTAGTAACATTTGGACATTTCAAAAAAAGGAAAAATATTGATTAAAGAGTTAAAAAAAAAGTTTTTTCATATTCCTTCCAGTCGAGTATGATTCGACCACGTCCTTTTGCCCCTAATCCTAAGCCCCCACATTAAACCCACCTTCAGGTTGTTTTCGGCTTTTGAATAATTGAATTCTTCTGCTTGGCGAAACACAAAACTCAAATGCACAACCGATTGAGTTGATCAATCAATTTGGGGGTTTTGATGGAAAGACCAACCAGATATGAGAAATGAGTAAGATATGGCGACTTGAGTGTACATTTTTGACACGAGGAAACGAGAGAGAATTTAATTACCTGCGCAGCGCCTTTAAATTAAACAGTGGGTTAAAGTAAAAAACAAATGAAGTAAAAATAAATTTTAAATAAAAAAGTTGCAAGAGGAAAATGGAATTCGATTCTGTTATATCATGATTCACATTTTATGTGCTAAGTTAAATTAATTTTACAGAGGAAACATTTTTTAATTCGACTTATTGTTCAAAAAACATTTATAGCCAAAAAAATATCCACATATTTGCAAGGGGATCTGGTAAATAAAATACATACATAAGCCAAATCTAAATAAATAAAGAACAAGTTACCATAGTATTGCGAAACAGCAATAATAGTTACACATATGAAATAAATAATGCCAGACATGATTAGCTAATGAACAGTTAAAATTCGCTTTATATACTTAGATGTTATCCAACTAGATCGAATTAAAATTGTTTGGTTAATTAAATAGGATTTGCATCTTAATATGCTTGAAACAAAAAAAATTGGCAAAACTAAACAGACTGTTGTTTTGTTTTTAATAAAAATAAATAATATTTTCTTAAGCTTAGTAACTTGTTGGAAAACGGCTTAACTCACCTTTTTCTAGCTGGGATTGGCTTAATAACTAGATACACTGTTACACCTTGGGCCCAGCTCCTTGGTATCATAATTTTCCCGGAGTTTTCCCGTCTCAGTTGTGCTTTTGGCACTTCATTCATTTGTGAATGTGACAAGTGCCGACGGGGAACGAGAATTGTTGCTGACGACGCTCAACTTTATGTTGATTACCTTTTCTGATTATGTCTGAGTGTGTGCGCGAGTCCTTGGCACACGGCGGAAAGCCCGGATAAAACAATAAACATAAACCAAGTGGGTCGAGGGGTCGACGGGGCGGGTAGAAGGCATGAAATATGATTGAAGTCGAAATGAAAGATCCGGAGCAACCACTTGAGAGAGGTGGCTCATGTGTAGAACGGCAATCCGGAGACACTCTGGGGACAGGAGTTGAAATGTTGCAGCTGGCAAAAGGCACATAATCACTTTTGCCGGCAACAGTCAAATTAAATCCGGTGAATATGCACAAGCACAAACAGGACCAGGAACCAAGAACCCAGTAAAGGGAACCCAAGGACCAAGGAGCCGCGGCGTCAACTTACAATCCCCAAAACATTCTAATTGTAATAAAAAGCAACATTAACTGGCGCCCAACGGATGGCAACGGTGGCACTCAAAAACTGTCTCCTTCTTTGTAATAATCATCGAATAAATTATGCAAAAATCATTTCCATTGTTGTAAGTGCCTTTTCCCCGTGCGTTGTCAACGCTCTCATCTGTTCCTGTTCCTGGGAAGAGGGCTATGTTCTTGTATCGCATTACGGTTCCTTGTCTCTCGGGCTGACGTCCAAAAATTGGCAATACTTGAATTTTTAATAAGATCCGCCAAGTTGGTTTCAACATTTTCAACATCTCATTTCGACATTTTAATATTTGGTTGGGTTAATAACCAAACATTTAAGTTGAGCTTGAGAACGTTGTTGAGCAGTTGTGCGAAGAATACTACTTAAAATCAAAATAAAAATTTAAATAACATTTTGAAACAAAACTTTGGCTTTATATACGACCTTTTTTTCATACATTTTTCCAGGATTTTTCCCAGGCTTATAACAAATATTTTTGCTAAGCTATTGGCTAGGCTTTCGCCAATCCTATTCCCAATTCCATTTGCGCCTTTATTTATTACATATTAATTAAATTATATTTAAAGAGTTTTTCATAATTTTATAGTAGTTTTAAGTATTTACTGATTATAATTTATAACTATTTGTACCTAAGAATTTATATTATTTTTATTAAATCTTAATAAAAATAAGCAACTATTTCCCAGTACATTCGCTCTAAATATCTAGCCATACTTTCTAAAAAGTACCCAGTAAGTGTCGAGGGTTTATCTACTAAAGTACCCTAATAAATCCAATTACAGATTGGCCCGGTGTAAAAATTGTCTCGTTACGTTCAAAGGGGAAAATACCCCTGACTACCTTTTGTGAGCATTTTATTTTCCACTTTGCTTGTATTTATTTAAATTTGAGCCCCGGCTATACGGCCATACGGCCAGTGAGATATAGCCAGACAAGCGTGGACTTTGGACCTTGGGCTTATCGCTCGCTCAGCTTATTTGCACAGGCGATTGCCGAAAACCAATCGGCGTAAAATTGAAACCAGCACCTTCTTCGCTTTTTTATTTTTTTATATTTTCGTGGGGTGTGCCGGGGCATAAAAATGAAAAACAAATAAAAAGGCAGTAGAACAGCAGAGTGGATAGAAAATTTTCGAAAAAATTAAAAATGCCTGATGCGCATCGATTGATTGACGCGCGATTTGACACGTGGAAAATGCATAAAATATGAAAATAACGAAAGCCACTTGAATCGAGAGGCCAAATAACAGATGTAATTGTTGCAACCACCCTTCGACAGGTCCCTTTTTTTGACTTCTCCGATTTCGTATGCAAATCGTCGTCAAACGGACGAAACCGCGTTGTTAAGCGTGAAATTTGTTTTTCATTTTTTTTTTGGGCGGAGTTCGGCGGTTGACAGACACTCAAATCGAATTTTTGTCGCGCTCTGGCAAGTCATAAGAAAATATTTGAATAAAAGAAAGCTACCCTCATCCCCTAGTTTGCAGGGGTGTGTGCGCTGACTTGACGCTTGTTTTTCGGCACATTATGCAAAATAAACATGCAAATAAGATTTGCAGTTAATAAAATTGGTGTACAACCTTATATTCGCGTTGCGTTCTTTTTTCGCGGTCTCTCTGTCGAGATAATTCCCGAAGACAACCCTCGAAAAAATCGACTTGTCCATATGCCACTTTGGGGAACAATTATGCAAGATTTTAACTTTATTGCTGAACGATTTTCCGACACGGCTGATTCAGAATAAATTTTTGACAAATCTTATTTCCGGAAAATGCGTGTATATTTTTAAAGCTGCTAAAATATACACCGTAATACCAGGAAAATAATACCTTTGTGTGTTTAAATGTTTATAGCTGTTACTCGAAGAGTAAGGAAGCGTTTTCAACTCTATAAAGAATAGGTATGTATTTTTTTATGACAAGGACAAACAAAAGTTAAATAATGTCTTTGTAAAAAAAAGTTAGGAGCTGGTATAAAAAAATAATATGGTGCAAAATCGTTATTTCATGAAACCAAATATTGGAAATCATCACTCCGGAATTTCGTCTTTACTAGCCATCACCAGTATGTCTGAATAGCTTTGTCTATATTTCATTTGGATTCTGTTGATTCCTGTTGGGGGCCAATTTCCTTCGATGCCTTGGAGTGGCTTACAAATGGCATGAAATTCATACGCCGTGCATAAGTAGCGTTAAATTGTGAGATTGTATTACATTTCCCCCCTAACAGTCTGGATTAAGATTTCTGTTCGGATTTTTTTGGGGATGCTAAAGCGGCAGGGGATCAGACTGACGTCAACAAATGAATGGTGGAGCTGGTCTAGGGGAAGAAAATCAGACTGTCGACTGAGGAAAGAACGGAAAGAGAGAAACGCATATCTTTCAAATATTTCCAAAAGGTGTCAGTCTTAGTAAGTCCATTTTCCTATTTATATTGCAAATCTAGAAATGTTAAAAATATTTTTCAATTGAATTTATATGCAGTTACGTTTAGAAAACTATCAATACAAGATCAAATATAATAATTTTAACTTTTTTGTTAAACACAAGCTCAGCTCTCTAAATGAACTGACCACTTGCTGTATTTGTCAAATGTATTGATAGGCCCATACATCAAACTTTATGCCTAAGGAGGGTAAATTCCTTTGCCAA